CGCACGCGAAACATCACGCAATTTTAATTCCACTGCTATTGTTGCGGTTAGAAGAGTGAAACACACCCCGTTCCAAAGAAACTGACACAACGACAAGTTATATTCCAACAGGTTATCATCCACGATACAAATCTACTTAGCGCATTTACATGTTTCATTTTATCACCCGGCCTATGCTCTATCGCGTAATCATAGTTTTGCAATTTTAGGGCTCATTGCGTAATTCTAGGATTGATATATTTTTTCTGCAAGGTTATCTTTAGTGCGTTACAGTCTGTCACTATTTTAAATTTTATTCCCAGCAAATTCTAAATCTGTTAAGCGCGTATATTATTGCCAACGTCTCCAGCTCGAAACTGTACATATTTTCTACCACTGTGGTACGCTTCGAGAAATAGAACACTGGGTCGAATTTTAAATCAGACTTTTACATCAGCGCCAAATCCACAGCTACGAGCGTTGCAATGAAATTCAGTGAGATCATGAGGCTCATATATTGCTAATATAGGCGACTCCATCAATCTTAACTCTAAATCTTTAAAAATATTTAGTTCTACGTTAGTAAATTTAATAAGATATCTTTCTTGAGTAAATCGTACAAGGATTTTGCAATTACCGCGAACTCTTCAATAAATTTTCAGAAGTAAGAGCATAGCCCTAGGAAACTATGGACTTCACGTGTACATTACGGAATGGGGAATTTTGATACTACTTCGATTCCGTCCACTGTGGAACTAATGCCTTCTGGAATAATTCAGTAACCTAAATATTCAATCTTCCTAAACAAGAATTTACATTTATCAAGCAGCGTCGGACTGGCCAGGACGGCTAATCGGCGATCGCCGAGAGCCCGGTTCTGAAAGGAGCCCAACAAGCAAGGCCAGTGACAAAAAAAAATCAGTCACGGAAACTATCCAATGACTTTGAGCTCTAAGAGAACTTGCATAAAGAAATTACAAAAAGTCTCAACTCTGGTGGAAAAATGTTGCTAAAATTATTCCACGTTTTGGAATACTTTTCAACAAAATTTCAGCATTTTAAAAAAGTTTCATTTTATTTCCAGCGATTTTTAGCTAAAAAAATTCATTTTCGACAAAATTTCAGAAAAATTTTAGCAAAATTTTCAGACAAATTTCAACAAGAATTTCAGAGAAATTTCGGTTGAATTTCAGTGATTTTTCAGTATGTTAACTGAAAAATTCACTTTCAGTGAAGTTTCAGCAAATTTTCAGCAATTTCGCTGAAATGTTCCAAAACGTGGAATAATTTCAGCGAAACTTTTTCACAGGGAAGATTTTAAAAAATTAATGCATGTGCTTTTTAATTAAATAAAATAAAATTTTATACAAATTGAAATTACTGTATTAAAAATAAAATGTGCATAAATGCGTATTTTGTACGCGTTATCATGTGGTTTATGATCTATACTTCTAACTTTTCCTACAATGGCGTTAAAATAGCATCTTTTCGATTTTCTAGGAGATTTCCGAAACCATATTTCGAGCCCATGTTTTAAGCTGGAAACACAATAAAAAGGCACAGGCAATAGAAACAGGGAATAAGAGATTTCAACCTATAAGGAAGTGGTTCCTGTGTGTTTCCAGCTTCATCCTCAAATTTGATCTTCTTTTTACTCTATGGCCACTTCATATCAAAAAATGGGTTAGGTTATTTTTTTTCAGTAGTGGAGCTCCCTCCTCCCCCCCGCAGGAGGGCGGAACCTACTGTATTTACGCGAAGCGACTTCCACCCCATCCCTCTTTCTGCGAAGGGGCTCATAATTTCCATGTCGCTTTATGTTGTAAAGTGTATGCGTGAATACAGTAAGTCCCGCCCTCTTTTTTGGTGTGAGATAGTTCTCGCTTCGCGCATGGAAAGTCGAAATCCACATGCAACAGTACAATCTAATATAGAAGTCTGCGTCCCTTGCAAGGGCAGAGTGGGGATGAGAGTTGTAATTTTTTAAAGCTACAATTATTTAATTGATCTAAATATTTTTCACCTTACAGTAAAACATCATTTGATTGGAAACGAGACCGTTTATATTAAAACTTGAAATACGAAGCGCCTTACCGGTCCGAGTGTTAAGATGTTGAACTACTACTATATAATATACATTCATTTAAATTGAATTAATTTTCAGAATTTTTCCGATCGTTTAAAAGTCTTGGGAAAATAGATCCCATATAAATTGAAGCCAAGAGACAGAAAGGCAAAAAACCATCTGCAAAATTCTGCTTGTTAGCAACAAAGAAAGGGGTTTTTGCACCGAATTGTGACTGATGATGAAAAGTGGATCTATTTCGATAATCCCAAATACCGAAAAACCATTTGCGATCCAGGCCAATCATCGACATCGACGCCAAAACGAATATCTACGGAAAGAAGGCAATGCTTTGTATTTAGTGGGATCAGAAGCGTGTACCACGAATAATTTTTGAATTGTTACAATTAAAATTGGAAAAATTTGGACTATTATTATACTTTCTAATATCATTGCTTGTTCATTCGATGGAGCAAGTAACGTGCAGGGAATATATAATGGACTTCAAGCTTATTTAAAAGTCAAAATCCTTCACTAATATGTACGCACTATACGTGTTAAATCTTGTTATAGCCGATTCAACGAGCAATTGCATATTGGCAGAAATTTTTTTTGGATTAGTGGGAGAATCCGTAGTCTTTTTAAGCAACTCGTAAAAAAGTGATGTATGGAAATCGCAAACAAAAACACGGTATTTTGGTCATAGAAATTATATCGGTTAAAGAAAATAGGAGCTACCCGATGGTGGAGTAAACACAAAGCTTTGGTCTCTATAATTGACTTCAATGAAACTGAATTTCGTAAATTCGTGACATTCTTATCTTTTCTCGTTGATATAATTAACGGTAACTTCGAATGCAAAACAAAATTTTTAACCCGTACATTATTAGAAAAATAGAGTCAATTTGAGAATTTGCTAATGGCATTAATTTTATCGGACTTGTTTTTTGTAACTTCTCCTGTCTTGGTATTTTTACAGATAAAACATTTAGATTACCAGAAAGCTTGGAATACAATTCAGATATTACTGAAGCAAATAAATGCAAAGCAAAATAAAAAGCATTTCTTATCTTTGGTCGATCAATGTAAAAAATTTGCAATTAATATTCAGAGCGAATTCAAAGATTCTTGTATTGTTGAAATTCAAGAATCATTTTCTCAAAAAAAGGTACCAATAAAGAAGAAATTACCAGGGGAATTAAATAACGATAAAGCTAGAAATTTAACGGCAATCAAACGGTACAAAATTAATTATTTTGAAATTCTAGATACAGTAAAAAATAGTATCGAAAAACGATTTTTACCTAATAAAGTGTTATTGATGGACTGCTCCTGGGTTGATCCCCAAAAATATAAAGATATTTCTGCAATCGAAATTAATGATTTACCGAGTGACGCGTTGTCAATAATTTCTAATTTAAGTTAATCGAAAAAGTTTAATTTTAGAATTAAAGCAATTCGCTGGTATGCTAATTTTGTAACAAACCAAAAAGATAGTAATATCAAGAGGCGTTGAATTGTGATAGTAGTGATAGCGATAATTCCGATGATGATGATGATGATGATGACAAAGACAGAAAAAAATATCAAAGTATTTATAATCATAATAATTCCGAAAAATGTAACTATTGTTTAACATGCCCCTTTTCTGTTTTACATGAGTTATCTTCACAGTCCGGTCTATTCAATAATCTGTACACAATCTTTAAATTTGTAATGACTCTGCCCTTTACACAAGTAACTTATGAAAGAGTATTTTTAAAACTTAAAGTGCTCAAAAACAGATTGAGATCTCTATTGGATCAAAATATTTTAACTCCATTACAATTGATGTTCGTTGAGAAAGACTTATTCGACAATGTCGAAAAAGATCACATAATTGATAAAATAGCAGAAACTAGTAGAGAATTGAAAAGAAAATTGTTAGTTTAATGTTATCATAACCTAATTGTAAGTTTAATTTTAATTCATTCTGTGAATGTATTATAATATTATGAAATTATAATAGATATGACTGATTTTGATATTATGTATAATTTATACATATGTAGAAAGTACGTAAGTACAAAGATATTTATTTATAATAATTAAAAAGTATTCATGTACACACGTCTATTTTATTTTTATTTCAACTTTACTGAGTTCCTAAACATTATTCATTGCCTAAACATTATATTAATAAGTGTCTAAAATATAAGTTGTAAGAAACATAACGCACTGTTTACTTTTGATTATAACCTTTATATTGCTAATAGAGTAATTATATGTATAGATCGCATCAAATTTGATTAAATATTATCGATACAAATAAGTATGCAGTTACATATAATTTTATACAAGGGGGGGGGGGGAACGTGACATTTTGTCGCTGAAGGCCCAAAGATGAATCAATCCGACGCTGTTATTAAGCCTCAAATTTAACTTGTTTTCCACTAGTAATCTGAATACTTTACTTAACATAATAATATTAAATGATACTCCAAGAATTTTATTGCAATCAAAAAGTCATCGATATATTCGATGGCATTCTCTGAATGGATTAATTCATCTAAAATTTCGTTAACAAACTTTTGAAATCTTCCAGGCTGATTTCGAATCAAAAGGCATTTTAACGTATTCAAACTGACCCAGCGGTATAGTGAAGACTGTATATTTAATCGACTCTTCAATTACTTAAATATGATGAAACCCATCCTTCAGATCTAATATGATAAAGTAATTCTTATATTTTAAAACATTTATTTGATCCTCAATTACCGGGATTAGGTAATTTGTCCGCGCAATATACTTATTCAGGGTTCTATAGTCGTTGCGGTACTCGCATGTGTATCGATTATACGAGGGCTGTCTGAAAAGTTTCCGACCTCAACGTGAAGATAGCAGCATTGGTAAGTAAAAGCTAGTGAATTTCGTTGTTCATCTGTTAACAGTTACTCACCACAGTTTCAGCCATTTTGGACGCGCAGTTGTTATGTAGCAGTCGTTTGAGTGAGTTCATGTTAGTCATTTTGTGAAAATGGACAAAATCGAGTATCGAGCTGTCATTAAATATCTGTTTTTGAAAGGCAATACGCCTACGCAAATCAAAGATGAGTTGGATTCTGTGTACGGGGACTCTGCACCATCATTTACCACAGTGAAATTTTGGGCAGCTGAATTTAAACGTGGCCGTAAGAGCTTGGGAGACGATGAACGTTCGGGACGTCCAAAAACTGCAACTGCCGACGAAAACATCGCCAAAGTTCACCAAATTGTGCTAGACGACCGCCGAATTAAAGTGAGAGAGATAGCAGAGGTTATGAAAATGTCAAAAGAACGTGTTTGTCACATATTACATGAACATTTAGGCATGACAAAGCTGTCCGCGCGTTGGGTGCCGCGTTTGCTCACGTTAGACCAAAAACGTGTTCGAATGAACATTTCCAACGCTCTGTTGGCGCAGTTTAGGCGCAATAAATCCGAGTTTTGGCGCCGATTAATTACTGTAGATGAAACTTGGATACACCATTATGCGCCCGAAATAAAAATATAGTCCAAACAGTGGCAAAGGGGGAACCGGCTCCAAAAAAAGCAAAAACTGCTTTTTCGGCTGGGAAAGTGATGGCGACTGTTTTCTGGGATAGTCATGGAGTTATTTTCATCGATTATCTTCAAAAAGGTAAAACCAGGAGCATACTACGCATCATTACTTGACAAGTTGGACGCAGAACTTGCGGAAAAACGGCCACATTTGCAGAAAAAGAAAATCCTGTTTCACCAAGACAACGCACCGTCTCACACCTCAGTGGTTGCCATGGCGAAAATCCACGAATTACGGTTTGAACTGCTTGACCATCCGCCTTACTCACCAGATCTAGCCCCAAGCGACTTCTTTTTGTTCCCTCATCTAAAAATTGCGGTCGGAGGACAGAGATTTTCGTCAAATGAAGAGGCAATCACCTTCGTGAACAATTATTTTGCAGAGAAAAACGCCAAGTACTATTTGGACGGGTTACAGAGATGGGAGCATCGCTGGGAGAAGTGTGTAGAGTTACAAGGAGACTATGTTGAAAAATAAAAAAAAAATTTCAGAAAAAATGTCTTCTATCTTTGTTAGGTCGGAAACTTTTCAGACAGCCCTCGTATACATGCAGTCGCGTTCAATTATCATTTCCGCAACTATTCTTTCAGCAGAGGTCTTGAATTTGGTCAGGTCCATCATACTTCGATAATATACTAATTCAGAAGTCTATTCGAAGCATCGCACTATTATTTATCAGTTATCCTCTCAAATGTTCTCGATAATGGCAGCCTGCGATTCGACAATCTTCGCACTGCAACCGCTTCTCTCTTGTGCTTACTATACTTATCTGATCTGTCTCTCGGGCTCTGCGTGTCTCACAACTCTGCGTTCGTAATCCGAAATCAAGTCCCACTGATTAATTGTAATAAAGTTCGATGCAAGTGTCAATATGTTAGGCAACACTGGATTTTTCAATAAGTCTGTTCTTTTTAGCTAGTTCTGTTTCCTTTTCTCTCCAGGAGGAAAGAAAAGAAAGAAAGATGAACTAGTGCAAAAGTTTAGTCAAAAAGAACAGGCCTTATATCTTGTCTTGACCGTTCGTCTTGCAATGGGGGCCTAAGGCCGCCAACTTCATAGTGTACTGCTTCCACGTCTACCATACCAACTCTCTAGAGTCATCTCGCAAGATAACGGCGTCGTTTATAAACTACTGTTACACAAACTTGTCCTTTTTCTAAAAGAAACAATACGAAAATTCCTATTATCTAAGCATTTATGATGTTTTTCCTCAATGTTAAATTATTTTTCACGCAAATTACTGTATAAGAAAAAAGGTGTATAATTATATAGAAGGGAGAAGAATGAATATGTATAAACATGTATTTCGTATATAATTATATATGTTTATACATAATTCTTTATACTTATACATATTTCTATTCATGTTCATGCTCACGATATAGGGGGACTTCTGCCTTAGAGATGTAACCTCTGAAATCCATAAATTCATTTAGAGTATGATGAAATTTATCGCCCAATACCAAATTCCACTTTTTTATTGGCAAGGAAAGTTAAAAAACCATATTTGAAGTTTTATCAAAGTGACGACGCGATGGTGAAAGAGCCAGAGAGCATCTAGCTAAATAATAATTAATGAGTTTTGCTTATAAAAAAACTAATAAATAAATAAGACAAATAAAAATATGCTCATAATTAAAATTATAATTACATAATATAATCCAGAAAGGCTAAAAGATACATATCATTTACGGATTAGAAGATTTATGAATATAATAAAATTACAGACTTCGTCTTTACAGACTAGAAGATTCATGTATATAATAATGAAATTACTTAGACAATATACAACAAATTTTATTATTTATACAAATAAATCACAATAAAACAATTCTAAATAATAATTTACAAACTTCGTTTGCTAATACAAATGTTTTGAAGTTTTATGATGCATAATAAGTTATTACATAAAATTTTAGAAAAGTCGTTATAATCAAAATTTATTTATTAATGATTAAATTTATATGTTAAGTTAATAACAAATTTGTCAAACAATTTACAATTCAATTTATTCTCTACCAACAACTTTAAAGTCAAGAGACACGATAGTGTTTCGCGCTAAGTATTCGCGCGTCCTGGGCGCTGGAGATACTACAGTGTATCTTTACTCGAACCGTCGAGTTGATTGGATACACTATGTTTATGTCTAAAAAACGGCTAGACGGACGAAATTTTTAATAGGCTCAATTGATAGCATAGAGTTTCATTATATAATGAAAGTGTCGGTATTTTTTTCTCCGATGAATATTAAGGGAATTATTTAAATTTTTCTATAAAAATGAAATAAAATAAAATTAAGAACCATCATCAAGGTATCCGCGGAGACCACGATTCGATTATAAATTGACAATTAATGCTCGTATACGCTCACACACACTCCCAAGTATTCTCCACGCTACATACTCACCAACACTTACATTATTCATCCGAACCCCTCCTATTCCCCTCCCATCCACTACAGAGACCTCGATGGACGCCAACATTTACCCGATATATCTTGCTACATCCTTACCCACCCATGCACACTCCCGTCCCACCTCCACTTCCATCTCCACCCTACCCCCACTTCATTTTGAATATTTTAATATTCGTCAAAACGTTCCGAATATTTTTTATAGCTTGCTACGTGTTTACCCACCTCCAATGTTATCTCACTTTGAATACCATGATACACCCCGAAACATCTCGAACACTTTTCAATTCTCTAGCTAACGCAACCTTATGCATTACCCAGGTAGCATATATTCGTTTAAAAAATGTGTCATAAATGTTTTTCTGAAACATTTCATAACTGGTTCTTGAAAACGTTTCTGATTGGTTAAAATGTCTATTCGAAAAACGTTGAGGAAAACGTTTTTTTTCTAACAAAAAAAAACCGTTTAAGAAACGATCGAAATATCGTTTAAGAAACGATCAAAATACATTTTTTTCCGATATAATTTGCTTTCTCACAGAATTATTTAAATTTTAAATAATGCATTCACAAGCATATGTATTTTTAAAAAGAAAGTTGAATAAATCATTAAAATAATAATTTTCTTAAATAATTTATTCAATTTTCTTTAAAAAAAATATATGAATATATAAATAAATTATATTTTATAAACAATAAAATCAATAGGCTTTAAAGAAAATTCTAAAAAATAATAAATAAAATGCCAATTTGAGTCAACATTAATTATTAGTGTGTATTTTTTATACCATTTATTTAAAGTGAATATTAAACATATACGTTTCGACCTATGGTCAAGGTCCTCTTCAGTACAAAAAATTTATACTAACAAAATTACATAATGATAGCGCATACGAGTATAAACTAATAACATATAAAATGCAAGAAAAACCGTAGCGATGATGTTCGAGTTAATCTTAGTCAATAAATTACTAAATTAAATGACTGTCAAGATTGAACTATTTCTATAATTTGTTGTTTGTTGTACAAACATGTACAATACATGTTCCATTAAACTCTTCCAAATGAATTATTTAATTATTCATTTTACATCTGTCTACCAAACAGTTATGTCGTGTCTAATATCTTTAAATTTTGTTTGTTTGCAGGGCGACGACAGAGGCGCAACACCGCTGAGCAACTATAGAGGCGCAACACTGCAACGAGCAACACCGCAATGAGCCGACAGAAGCGCAGCACATCAACGATCTGACGGAGGCGCAGTACCGCAGCGACCAATCAGCGGCAAAGGCAGAGGGGCAGCCACGCCCCGTAAAGAAGGAGACGACTCCAAGGCCACCATCGTCGGTGAAGGGATTTCGTTCTGAACGGTCGACGAGTCAAGTTATTCTCTGAATCACGCGGGAATTAAAATACTTGTTCGGAATATTAAGTTAACGAAATTGGATTCTATTCTGAACCGGAAACGAGGCTGATCTTTCTGGCTCGTCTGGGTTGAACCCTTACTAGAAAGAAAGAAAGATTAGCCATTTTTCACAACGCCATTACGCATCCACTTTGTGGCAGATGTGAATAGATTCTGGAAAATTGTATTTGGGAAGAATAAGATGGTTACCCGGTGTGAGTGCATAGGGCAAAAAACTAATTTATATAAAATTTTATAATATAAGATAACGCATTTCACAAATTACAATCCTTTATATTTGCCTCATCCACTTGTTAAATGTAATCTCGACAAACAACAAATAAATAACAAATCAATAGTAAATTCAGCTTTATATTTTACAATATCAATATTAGTCCAGAACATTTGTACTAAAGAATCAGCTCTATTCACAAAGTACAATATTTTATATTGCTTATCTATCTGGTGAACGAAATCTTAATAAATAATAATTAAATAGTAAAAGTTTCATTTTATATGTTACAATATTGGTATCGGATTAGATCATTTATACCAAATTATTATAAGTTAAATGATAAGTATCTATGGATGTAATAAGTATGGATTATGATTCTTATTATAATAGATATACCTGTTTGTGATTTCGACGAGTCGGAGATTCGCTGTTCAATAATTAACTATTTTCCTTATATGTACATATAAAGGCTGTGAATAAACGAAAATTATATGATAGTAATAATATTAATTATAAAGTTTGAAGATATTAATCATTCTATCTAATACAATTGTATTAATATTGCTGTGATCCTTAGGAAATATAACAGCGTGCCTTCAACGCCCAATTAATTAAGAGTGTTTTGTGACGAGTGGCTGGTGTCATCTTGTACGGAAGGCTCGCTCGCCAAGGCGGCGTGTAATAAATGATGACTCTCTTGATTGTAATAAGTTAGATTTTATTATAGAGTTGAATTCAGATTTGTTTGAAGCGGGCGGTAAGCGATGCTCGTAGTAATAATATTGCGACAATTGAAGCGTTCGGTTCGATGCGTGCACAGGTAATTCGCACTTAGTATGACGTTGAGTAATTTCGCGTTCGAAAAAGTATGTATTGCGAGCAGTGACGAGACCGGCAAATCTCGCCGATAAG